AAAAAAAAAAATACGATTTTAGAAAAGACCAGTGTCCGGATGTAAAAGAAACTATTAGTCCAATTCAATACAGCTTCTTAATTGGAGAATCAATAAGAAAAAAAAGTTGTAGATATTTAGCAACCTGAATGCATTGATACACGATATGCAGCGGTTGATGCATCGTTACCAAAATCTGTGGCAAAGCCTGAATCTGTAGATGCATCCGGACTTTCACGACCCGAACTTTGTGAGGCAAAACTTATTTTTGGTGCTGGTGTAGTGTCATCGTGCTCTTCAATTTTCTGTAACAGTTAACAAATTATTGGTATTTCTTATATCAATTTTACAGCTTTTATGCTATCAAGCCACCATCAAACAAATAAATACCTTCAGCAAATCCAATGCCAAACGTTTACCATTTTCACGATCATTAACTGGTAACTTTTGTTCGTCTTGATCCAGATTCTCTACTGACCAATCTATGAATGCAAATAATGCATCCTGAAGAAACCAATAAGCCAATGCTGTTTCACGTATTAAACAGTTTTTATACTGATAAAATAAATAGTTCGTTGTGTTTTAGCAAACTAGAGCTAAAGCATTTTTTAAGAATCCACTTGTATCACACAGTTTGATGTAGAAGTAAGCTCTTTAATCTATGAATGAATAAAACTGATAATAAGTGATATCTAAGAGTGTAACAGAGTGGAAAATAAAAATGATTTAAAGTTGCGTTATAATTTACTGAAAATTTAGACTGACTTAATATCACTCTCTCAGTGTCATTTTACCAGTATCATTTTAGTAACTGTTGGTCCACACTTGGAAAGAATATTGAATTTCTGTTAATCATAAAATTGGCAGGCTTTTTTGACGTTAATAAATGAGAATAAAGTTTGCTTAAAAGCCAGAAACAATAAAGTCCCTTTTCATTCAGCCTAACTTTCACAACTGATCATACGCTCCTTTCCAGATTAAAGTTAAAATTTCAAAGAAGCAGTATAAGATTTTGGCATTAAGAATCGCGTATCTATAATTACGATCTATCGAACACCTAGTTTTCCAATCAACCTCTTTAAACCTACTGAAATCAATCAATCAGCTGCAAAAAAAAGCATAGATTTCCCCTTCAATTTTTTTCTTATTTCATTAATATTTTGGAAAAACAATAATAAATTAAGTTTCTATAGTTCTACTGAAAAAAGATTAAAAGTCTTATAATTGTTTTGTATCGGAGCAAAAACTTTATGCAAAACAGAAGTGAAAAGAAAAAAAGAAACGTAAAATCAGACTTGAATTATCGGTGATTTATTTCGAAGTGTTGTAAGAAATGTCACAACTGAATCAAAGATGGCATTAACACTTCCGACTAACATTTCCAACTTTTCTGTCCGTAACACTTCAATTACGAACTGTATAGCCACCTCAATATCTTTTGGTACCTTCCGAGATAAGCTTTTCGAGAAACCCAAATCCTGTAGAAAAAAAACTACAATTAGCTTTCATGAAAAACGACAGACACTACCGTCTACAGCGGTAAAAAAATGTAGAAAAAAGATTATGATAAAGTTATCAGTAATATAAGTGAACAAATTCTCATACTTTAAAAAAAAAAAAAAAAAAGTACCTCATCTTACACAAAGTGCAACAGAACTGTTACATTAGACAGATTATTAAAGTTATCATACTGTGATTATATCTGTTAATTCAGCATATGAAAATAACTCAAAAAGTAAAAGTTAAATGTTTCATTAGTAATTAATTTTTTCTGGTACTATTTTTTGCTAAAAAAGATTTCAAGTAAAACCCTTGAAAATGATCATCACATTAAAGTATTTGCATGTTTGTTGCAAATTATTTAAGTGATGAATTACTATCTGCTAGATATTTTAAAATTTAGAACAAA